TCTTAAAAAAAAAAAGTGAATTTTTGGCCTTGCCGGGTGGCCAGGCAGGTAAAAGGAGCAGGGACTAGTATGTCCCAGAGCCTGATCAGGAGCCAGCCTGGGTCTGACAGACTGTCCTGAAGGGGCTCACAACCTCTCACACTTTCACCTGATCTGTGTTTGGAGGTGGCTAATAATTGCATGGTTTACTTAGTGATAGAACCTCACCTTTCCTATGCGCCAGAGAAGTCAAACATGCAACTTGAATAAGAACATGGTGTGCAGGAAGGGCAGTTTGGGGGTAGTGCAGGGGCTTGAGCTGCCACGAACACTTGGTGGGGGAGGTGCAGGGAGCAAGGAGACACCCTGTGGGAGTCATCACTCACCCAGAGGCAGAGACGCTGGCTCTCTCCCCACTTCAGGTGGTCCCCCGGGTGTCAGTGACTAGGCAGCCCGCAGCTCTGGGATTCCTGGGAGCACTGCTCCTCGGTCGGGGGCGGGGGCAGTTTGGGGGGCCAAATGGGGGGTGCTTTGGAGGCACCACTTCTGGAGCCGGGGCCACTTCCCAGCAGCCCGTGCTCACCTTCCTGCGGCTCTGTAGATTAAGGATGGGTGGAGAGTTTACCGTTGGCCAGTGTCTTGCATGTCTATATGTTGGGGAGAGAGAGAACACAGAGAGGGGTGGGGGTGGGCGGGGTAGAGACTAGTGGGGACTGTGCAGGCAGCCAGCTGTTTACATTTTTTCAAGTCATGAAAAGAAGTTGTGGCTTATGCAGCAAAAGGTGGCTACGTTGTTGCCACTGGTAGTTTCTGAGCCTCCTGCTTTAGGGAAGTTTTATAAAGCTGGTCACCATGAGTTCTGTCCTGAGTCCCTTTGGCGGAGTGGGGTCACTGCTCAGCTCCCTCTGGTCAGCAAGTGCTCTGTGCCTGCCCTTGTCCCTGCCTGAGAGGGATGGAAAAGAAAGGCTGGAGACCACCTCTGCCCTGGGGGAATGTACCCACAACCTTACTTAGAGAAGTGAAACAAGCCATGGGGTGGGGTGGTGGTGAGTGGTGGGAGAAAAGACAGCTTTCAGGAAAGCAGTCTCGGAGTTTGTTACTGCAGAGGGACCTTTACTGCAGAGTTAGTGGCTGGAGTTTCCCCACCCCCACGTGAAAGCTGGGTGCACTCAGGGTCAGGATTCCTGGAGGAGAAGCCCCAGGGGAAGGTTCTGGGCTGCTCAGGGATCACGTCACACATGCACTCATGGTCTGCACAGGCTGCTTGTGTGGGCGCATTGAACTTGACATCAAGTCTTGTGACAGGTGGTGGATGGCAACTCCACCTTTGACTTCACGCCAGGCGCACTGTCAGCTGACGGCCTGGGCTGGGAGAAGCCCGGCAGCTCTGCGGTCTTGCCTCTGCCTGCGAAGTGGGGAGGTATCCCCGGCCCTCCCCACCTTACTGGTTTGACAGGGGGAGGCCATGGGGAAGCCTTGTGGAAAGCACAGAATAAAGCAGCCTCATTGGCTGCAAAAACCACTTAGGCCAAAGCAACTGGAGTCAGCGACTTTGCTGTGGCGTCATCTGCTCTTTGGAATCCTCTGTCTCAGGGTCCTTTTCCCCCAGCTCTTCTCTGTCCTCTCCAGTCGTCTCTGCACCCCTGCTCTGCAGGTCTAGCTGTTACCCTGTGGGCCCTCCTTGCTCTGCTCCCCATTCTCAGTGGGTATCTCAGACCCCCGGCAGGGTGCATATGTGAGTGTATTTCTCCCTTATTTAGATCTGCAGTCCCGCCCTTGCTCCAAGGCCCCGGGCCCTGACTTTTCTCTGAGCTTTCTGCAGGGCTGGGTCAGCCGTGGCTGCTCCATGTCGTCCAGTGCAAGGAACCCCCTCTTACTCAGTCAGCAGGGCTGGGCATCCCCTCACCCTCAGCCACCGGGACCGGGAACCCCCTTATCCTCAGCCACCGGGGCCGGGCACCCCCTCAGTCATCGGGGCCAGGTATCCCCCTACCCTCAGCCACCGGGGTTGGGCACCCCTTCACCTTCAGCCACCGGGTCCAGGTACCTCCCTACCCTCAGCCACTGGGGCCGCGCACCCCCTCACCCTCAGCCTCCACGGCGGCACTTTCCCTCTTGACCTTGCCGGACCCACTTTCCTGCTCCCATCCCACTGCTATCTCCTCAGCCCACATTTTACTTCATGTTCAGCTCCATTAAGAGCTGAAAAAATCTTTTAAAGTTAGGTATTTGTTTAGCAGTGGAGTTCTGTCTTTCTTATACCCCAGAGAAATCTCCCTTGTCACTCACAGTGAGATTTACAGACAGCAGCTGTTGGGCTTGACAGCTTCTCTGGTTCCTCTCTCCCCCCACTCCTTCCCCTGACGCTAGCCCCTCAAAAAGCAAGGCATGAAACCACACACACCTCTCGACAGTCTCCTGAGCCACCTCCTCGTTCCTCCTTCCTTCGTTTCTCTAAAACCCTGACGAGGCCAAGGCCGAGGCCTTCAGTAACTTGTCACAGCTCACAGGATGAAGCCTGAAGGTGGAGGACTTGGGATCCTCCCCTGCAGTACTCAGGCTTCCACACCTGGAGCCCCAGATGCCCTTTCCCGCTGTCCCTCTTCCCTGGAAAAGGCCGGGATGCTCCTTGGATGCTGTAGCCTCCACAAAACCTTTCTTGAGCTCCCTTCTTGTCACCAGTGATTGTGGCTCCTTCTCTGCTCCTGTAACGTTCTGTGTATGCTATTAAGAGAATTTCACTTATCTCATTGTATTTTAGTCACACTAAGGACAGGGACAATGTTCTGTTGATTTTTCAGCTCCCCAGATCACTGCCCACACCAGGATAGAGCAGGTGTGATCTCTGCTGGTCATGGAGGCAGGCCACCCAGTCAACGGTGAAGGTGTCTGCCTTTTATGCCCGATTGGCCCGGCAGCCAGACACCTTGCCTTCCCCTTGCAGGCTGGAGAGGGAGAGGCATTTCTAAGAAACCTCTGTTCCAGGTTTTATGGTATGGGGAGGTCCAAATAAAAATGGGGTGCTTCTTGGAACAGAGTGGCTAAGCTAAGTTCCCTCTCATTGCTCCTTCCTGCTCAGTCCCAGACACTATGCGTCTGCTTCCCAGCTGGAGGGGTTAAAAGCGGTTCAGCACCCGTGTCCTGCCCTCCTCCTGACTCAGGTAGCTGGCCTGCTGCTGGCCTGGGTTTGATTCCCTACCCACCAGGTGCCCCAGTTCTCAAAGGGGGCCTGGTTGCTCTCCCAGGTCTGGGTCCTCCTTCAGCAGCCTGCCGTTCAAGGAGGAGCCCCTCCCTTGCAGAGCTGGGCCTCCCTCCCTGAGAAGGTTCCCACTGCTGCACCCCAATTTGATGACTGGTGCTTTGCTTCCTGTTGCATGATTTGTTTTTGTGTGCCAGCTTCTGAGTATCTCATGCTTGTTTAAATCTTAAGATTTTTCTTCAACCTACTTGGCAGTTGCTCTTTTCCGTCCTCCCCAGGCGGGGCCTGCTTCTCAGGGCATCTTCTGCCTGCCCTCATTTGCCATGCCCTCACATCGCTTCTGCCAGTATGTTTGCCACCCCGGGGCCATGGGCATTCTAGCTGTACCTGAGAGGTGGAATTGCTCCCCATCTTGGTGAAAAGCCAAGAACTTCTGCATATTCTGCTTTGCACACTTTCTTCAGCTTTGCATCATCATTCCATCCCACACCTGGCCTGTCACACCTGAGGGACCTCACCTGACTCTTAATGAATCTTCCAGATATACCCTTCTAAAGCATTCTCCATACTTAAAGAGATTTTAAAACATGGACTGCTGTTCATGCCACCTCACAGTCCTGCTAAAAATCTTTCCAAATCTGAGCTTGTTCTGAGGATAAAGACCATCACAGAAAACATGCTAGAGAACATGACCTCCAAAACCATGGGTATCTTGCCCCAGATACCCCTTCAGCTTCTCATTCACTCTCTGGCCAATTTTCTTTCTTGTAACACACACCCCCCTTCTCCCTCCTACCCCAGGACCTTTGAACATGCTTTCTTAGACTGGAACTCAGTTGTTGTCTTTCAGCTGTAAACTCAGGCACCCCTTCTTCATAATGCCTACCTCACGCCTACCCCACGAGTTCTCACAGCTTCACGAACTCCCCCTTCATAGCACTTATCAAAGTGTTTAATTATACAGTCACATGGTCATTCATTAATGATCTTCCTCCCTAGATGCTAGTGAGTCCCTAGGATAGAGACCATTCTGTGTGGCTCACCATTTTATGGAACCCTGTGATTAACACAGAGTCAGGGTTTCATACATGTTATTATCGGAAGGGAATAGACCCAGCATGACTCTGCCTGTCCAGTTGCACAGAAGTTAACTAGGGCAATGTAGAAACCTGTCCAGGTCTGACACTAGTCCCCTCAAGAAGTTGGTTTGACCCTGGCTGTCACTTTGTAAAGGGTAAACCAAAAGTAAAGGTGAGCACAGGTTACTGGAATTCTTACTCAACTTCCTGTATTACGAATTGAAACTATTTGGAAATACATATTTATTACCTAATTTTCTCATTGGAAGGAATTTAATACTGATACATCCCATTGTATTCTAAATTTATTCTTTCCTTACATTTAGAGCCAGTAAAATGTTCATCCCATTTTGTTCATTGTTTTCTTCTTTCAAGCACACAAAAATGCTATTTCCCATTGAATTGCATTTGTAGTTTAGTGATCAGGTACTCTGTGCTAAACTTTGCATTTAATGCAGTTGAATTCCCTCTGTCCAGGTTATATCTGCTCTCTACTCTTTAAAAATGATTTATTGCTAAGGGTAATTGCTAAAACAACTCATATCTTTTCATAAGAAATATATGTATTAATAGATGGCATTATATATTCGACTATATATTGTGTCTATAATGCATCTTGTGTTTGTATGCTATACACACGTGGTATGTCTTATATCCTCTAGCTATGTATATTGAATAATGTATATGTATAACATATAACACATATATCACAAAACCCTCATCCCCTTTTCTTAATACCACAGTAATAATCCGTATTCCTCCTTTGGAGCCACTCTGGCGAGGGATGATGAGAAGAACTTGTGGAGTATGCCTCACGACGTGTCCCACACGGAGGCGGACGATGACAGAGTCCTGTACAATTTAATCGTCGTTCGTAATCAGCAGGCCAAAGACTCCGAGGTGAGCACGTTTCAGGTTTCACTGTGTGTACATGATAGTGTCTGGGGGGGAAAAAGCAATTACTGAGAGAAGCAGCTTGAAATAAAGAAAAGACTGAACGATGAGGTTGTTGACATATAATTGTTACATGTAACTGGTCTGGATAGAGTTGCTGATAAATAAGACTGATTTCTAATTATTCTCTTAATGATGCAAATAGCACAGAAACCAGCAAGGCAGTGCCTCGGAAGAGTGTGAGGTAGTGTGTCATGGGAAATGGAGAAAGCAGTCCATCTGCTGTCTTTTAGCTGTGTTTCTCAAGCCACAGCCTGAAAGGCTCAGGCTGAAGAATACTTTGCATTATCACTAATTCTGCAAGGGTGGGGCCTGAATTTGTTTTCTTTATTTTGTTGTTTAAAGCTTCTTAAATTGTGCCCATTGTGTATCTGCTATAGTTGAGATTTTTTTTTTGTGATAGGCTCGAAAATCATTTTTAAAAAGTTTTATCTATTTATGCATATAAGAACTGGGGTACAGGCCAGAGGTGCATGTGGGATGGGGTGGGGTGGGGTGGGCAAGAGGATTCACCAGAGACAGAGTGGGGAACAGGTGGACTGACCAAAATACACTGCTGAGGGGAGCAGCAGGTGAGGCAGGAGAGTTCTGCCGTGCCATGTGGGTCACTTTCCTCACCAGGAATTGAACTCATGGTGCAGTGGCTGTGGATAGCTTTATAGTATTGAGAGCTAACCCTTTGCACCACCAGGGAGGTCCCAAAACCTCATTCTCAATGAGTTCTGGTCCAAAGGGACGGGGGTAGGAACACTAGAATGCGGTAGAAGAGAGGAATTAGTAAGAGAACAGAGCGAAGGAGATACTGCATCATTTTGTCTTATTTTCTTTCAAAAGTAGTATGATTTACTATATGTAATACAATAGAATGCATTACGACGGTTCCTTTCCAAATTACACAGCCTCGTGCTCTAACATCATCAGCTAGCTCTGCACCTGTGTTCAATACCAAATATGTGCTTCTCTGTATTAATACCTTACAATTGAGAAGAATAACATATGTAATATTATATATTCAGAATGCTAAGCTTTGATCCTGAAGAGAAGCCTGGAGTATGTAGTGGGGCAGAAGGTCTTGGTGGGGTGGTGTCCTCTATGCCTTATGTAGGTTTCTTTATTTTTGCTAATTAATCATCAACCCCACCCCCACCCCAGAATATGCTTCAGCAAGCGGTGATAACTCCTAGAAGTGTTACATGTCCTGTTGTTTGATTCTGGTGTGGCTTTCAAGGGATTAGAGGGGTGTCTGCAGGTGGGGATCCCAGCACTGGGGAAGGGCTGGGATCTTGAGACCTCAGGGACAGTTGGACCTGAGACTCCACAGTGGCTGTGGATGAGCATCCTTCCTGGGGTGTGCTGAGCTGGTGGGGACCCCTCTGCTAGATAGGTACCACAGGGCTGCACCGTCTCCCTGGTGACTGTGCACCCTTCTGGCTCTGGCCGGTCAACCCCTTCCTGATGGGCAACACCCACAAAGCATGCTTCTGCTAAAGCCGCTGCCCTGACTGCCCTGCGCGAGTCTATGGGCAGGAAGGCGTGACCTCGTCCCCTGGCAGCGGGCAGAGTCTTGCCCTGCTATACGGCATGGGTGTGCTTGAGGTGCTGCTGGAGTGGCACAGCTGCTTTTCTTTTTGTCCTCTCGCAGCCCCAATCCGCCCAGAGTTGTAGCAGCCAGGGGCAGTAATGCAGAGCACGCCCCCGGCTCTGGCTTCCTGTCTGTCCCCAGGGCCTTGGGCAGCTCTGAAAGTGGTTTAAATGGGCCCCTGGAGCCCAGCCTGGCTGCTCTCTGGAGGATCTCTTCGCTCTGCACCACTTGTCTATTTTTGAAAGAGATGGAAACACGAGTTAAAAGCACCGTGGATCAGCAGGGCTGCTGTGGCACACGGTGCTGCCCCCAGACTGCAGCAAGGGCTACCCTCAAGGCATTTGTTCTTACCTCGGAAATGAGTCTGGGGGCCCTCTCTGTTGGTGCAGCGGGTTAGGGTGCAGCAGTGCCAGTTGATCCCTGATCCCGGGCCCAGGAGCTGACCCACATGGCGTGGCAGACCTCTCCTGACCCACCCGCTGCTCCCCTCAGCAGTGTACTTCATCAATCTGCCTGTTCTGCTCCCCACTCTGTCTCTGGTGAAGCCTCTCACAGCCCCTAAACCTCTGGCCTGTACCCCAGTTCTGGATACACAAATAAATAAATCTTTAAAAAAAAGTAGAGTCTGGAACCAAAACAGTTACACCAGCAGAAACCCTAGTGAGAAAGTCTGGCAATCAAATAAATAATATGAAGATGTGGTGATAATTATATACAAACACAAACTCTTTGAAGTGTTTCTGTTCATATTTATCTTTCTTTTTAAAGTATATATACATATATATATGTGTTACTTAAAATATATATACATACATACTATATATGAATAATTTTCACTTGGTTAAAATGTTCTTATCTTCTCTTGCAAACATTTAAAATGCTTATTAAAACATCTATTAGTGGGCCCTCCCTGGTGGCGCAGCGGGTTAAAGCACAGCACTGAGAAGCTAAAGCCACTTCTGCATGAGTTCGATTCCTGCCTGCCCCAGAGGTGTCCACATGGCGTGGCAGACCTCTCCTGACCCGCCCGCTGCTCCCCTCAGCAGTGTACTTCGTCAGTCTGCCTGTTCTGTTCCCCGCTCTGTCTCTGGTGAAGCCTCTCGTCGCCCCTAAGCCTCTGGCCTGTACCCCAGTTCTGTATACACAAATAAATAAATCTTTAAAAAAAAAAAACAAAAAACATCTATTAGTACCTGTATTCCTTTCCCTCACAGCCAGGATCACACATCTCATTCTGTTGCTGTGCCTAGCTTCTTCCCATGTACCATGTTGCCCGTGTTTCCATCCCACTGTGCTTGGAGTTGTCTTGTTGATTTAGGGGCCTCTGGTATTTCTTGCATGGATTTACCATCATTTATTCCACCAGGTCTGTTAGGTGGTCAGGCTGCTTCCTGGTTTGCTGAGATGTATCGTTCGTGTTACTAGGACAAGCTGCATATATACGCTTGTGGGACCTTCTTAGTTATAGAGTATGTGCAACTCAAGTGTGAGAATTACCAGGGCTTCCTTCTTGGAGCAACCCTGGAGAAGCTCCTAAGGGTACAGAACTGAGTGGTGCAGGCTTCACATTGTTGCAGGGGACCAGCTGCCTAGCTAGTCGCCTTTTGTCATGCTGACAATTGTAGATGCAGAAGCACTGGAACTTCTGATTTTGCAGAGAAACTGAAAATCCATATTTACATATAAAAATGCCTGTATTTTTAGTTAACTCACATTAAAAAAATGCCAGGTAAACAAAAACATGTTTACGGCTACTGCATCTGAGGCATGTTTACCCCAACAACTACGATGTTCTTTTGTTGTGTGTTGTGCTGGAATTGTAAAATAAGCTCACCGTGAGTAAAATAGGAGTGGGAAGTGGTGGGGACTGTTTAAAGTTTAAACAAATTCCGTTTCTATTAATGTTGCTTATTTTCTTCACATAGGATCAAATTGATATAAATTTTAATGAAACAGGGGACTTTGATTTTCAAAGGAAAACAAATCTCATCTACTAAGGATCAAGAAGTCCTGGCTACTTATGCATAATGCAGTTTAGAAGCTCAAAGAAAATATTAAGGAAAAATAAAAATTATGCTTTTTCTTAGATTTTTTTTTTTATAAAGATTTGCTTATTTATACATACAGAACCAGAGGTGCAGAGGCCAGGGGTTGGGGAGCCAGGCGGTGAGAGGCTTCACCAGAGACAGAGTGGGGGAGCAGAACTGGCAGACAGAGGAGTACACTGCTGAGGGGAGCAGTGGGAGGGTCAGGAGAGGTCTTCCGGGCCATGTGGGTCACCTCTGGGGTGGGAGGATCGAACTGGCACTGAAGCAGCTGCAGCCGCTTACACTGCTGCTCTTTAACCCGCTGTGCGACCAGGGAGAGCCCACATCATGTTTTTGTTTGTTTTTTTAAAGATTTATTTGTTTGTGCTTACAGAACTGGGGTACAGGCCAGAGGCTCAGGGGCAGCTAGAGGCTTTACCAGGGACAGAGCTGGGAGCAGAACAGGCAGATCTACGAAGTACACTGCTGAGGGGAGCAGCGGGCGGGTCAGGAGAGGTCTACCACGCCATGTGGTCACCTCTGGGGCAGGTGGGAATCGAACTCATGCTGAAGTGGCCTTAGCCTCCTAGAGTTGCGCTTCAACACGCTGCACCACCAGGGAGGGCCCCACATTATGTTTTTTCTTTGAATAGTAATAGCATTCTAGGAACATCCAGATTTGAATTTTTCTGAAAAAAGAAAAATAATTTCAAAACAATGCTTGCACTAACTACATTCCTCTTTTGAACTTGATGCTGCTGTTGGAAGGGCTACAAACAGGTAAATATACATTTGCCAGCTTCTTTCAAATTGAAAAAAAAATTGGAAAGAACGATCTATGAGAATAGAAAACTTGCAGTGAGCAGTGAGGATGTAGAAAGTAACATTTAATCTAATAGAACCTATTAAATGTATTTAATCTAAATGAAAGAATCCACTTTCATTTACATAAAACTTTGATGGACATCAGACTTCTAGCACAAGAAGTGATGTGTTTGCAGCTCTCCAAGTAGTGAAAGAGACTGGTCCTGTTTGAATAATACCAAACACTGTTGATGTTTGATTTGAAATAGTAAACAACCTCAAAAATCACATCACTAGCTTACTCTCTTCATATTCATTTGTGTTAGATCATTGGACTTTACATGCCAGACTTTGTTCCAGGGATCTTAATAAAAGTCAGTGAAATATCAATTCATCTTATTTATTTATTTATATAAAGAATTCTCATCATACTGAGAGATCTTGTTCTCTACGATACAAATAAGAACGTTACCAGGCACTATCCAGCCTCTTTTGTGTATTAATTAGCTCAGTGAGGTAGGTACTATTAATAGTTTATTTAAAAAAATGTGTCCCAGGTCACACAACTAAAAGTGTGGTAGCTTTGGAATCTGAGCTGTGTCAACCCAGAGACACAGGCGATGGCGCCGTGACCGAATCATGAGAAGGGAGTGTCTCTGGGAGTCCGTGTAGGTGTGTGAGTCCGTGTAGGGTTCAGTCCACGAGAGGAGTCTCCCCAAAGCCTATTCCTGTGACGTGTTGACGGTGGGCCTGCGTTCTGTGACAGCTGGCAGGACCTGCTCCTGGCTGCAAGGAATATGTCTTCCCTGACTTAGCCTTTCACCAGTAGCTGCAGCGAATGCAGATGCCTGCCCTGGGCTTGTGTTTCATTAGCTTCCAGAAGCTTCATCTTGCTCCTTTCCTTCGCCTTTGTACTTTACCTAGTGTTCTCTGACTGATGTCAGTCGGGGTCCCTTGCAGGGGTTCAGTACTAGTTCTCTTAGGAGTTGTGTGTGGCTTAATGTTTTTACTTCACTAAAAAAAAGACTTACAATTTTGATTGAGAAAATAAAACTAAAAATCAAATTATTCTCATACTTTAAAATGCCCTCTCATTTCAAATAGGTGACATTTATTAGCATGACCAGTGCTAGAAACTTCTTTGTTTACTTTTGAAGGTTATTCTCCTGGTGAGTACCTGCTATGTTGTCTCGGAGTAGGCAGTATTCTATAGCCAGTATTTGTATCCCCACAGTATTTATGCACTATTATATAGGATCTCTCATTCTGCAGTATTATATACTAGAATACAGTTTATATACTCCTGCAGTATTTATACTTGAGCAGCATTCTTTAAACTCCCTCAATATTTACACGCTGGCATGCTGTCTCTATACACTGGCAGTTTTTATACACTAGCAGAATGCTTGTGAACACCAGGTGTCTGTGTAATTTGAGTGATCCCTGAAAACCATATTCTACAGAGCCCTGGGGAACTGTAACTGTTGTTATTTTTTGAAACAATAAAGACAAAATATAAAATGTGCCTGGTTTACAATTTCTTTGCTCTTCCTATGTGTCAGGGCTCCCTAAGGACAGCGTGTTGCCAGGCATGGTAAACAGTCCCTATAAAATGTCTGAAATAATCACAGCCTTCCCGGGAGTTGTTTGCCTCGTCTGGGTTACACACTTAGCCATCCTATCTCTGGTGCTAATAGAAAAGACAAAACACAGGTGACTGCATGATGGGTTGGAGGATAAGGAAGAAGAGGGTTGAACTGCCCATGTTCCAGCCTCATGACTTGAAGACTTGGAAACAGGAGCTAGTCCAGCTCGGCGCTAGAGTGTCCTAAGAGGTCTCAGGAAGTGGACAAGACTTGCTCTTGTAGGGCCATCTGATTTTTCTACAAACGGGTGAACGCTGGCTACTGTTGGAAATTGGACTGCAACTTGTATAACAAGCATGAAAGAGCAAAGTGAGAGCAGAAAATTGAAGCAATTCCTTAGATAGGTCTGAGTTTCTTCAAAGGTTTTTTTTTTTGGGTTCCAGATGATCTGGAATGTTGAATGCAACCTGTTCTTCATTTTACTTTGCTAGTAATTATTTGGGTAAGAGGGGGAAGAGTAAAACCACTCGTTAGGATATTTTGATATAGGTTAATACTAAGGAGAGAGTGGGACCTACAGAAGGCAATGACTTTTCTTGATAACACCAGCTGCGAGCAGAAATGGGTTCCTAGCCCAGGATTCAATGTTTTTGATAATAGAGTGGAGCTGGAATGCTCTAAGATTCTGAGGACTTAGGGCAGAGACTCAGGTGATTTTCTTTTGTCCATCATTTTAAATGTGAACAGAAACAACAGATAGCAAAATAAGGCACAGAACTTTGTAGAAAAAAAGTTGGACTCCATCCAACTTATTTCCCTCTTAAGAATGTGTGGTTATTTTTCCAAAAGTTTCAGGACTGTCTTCCTATCTAGGATATGATTCAAAAAAGCAAATGTTGGGCCTTCCCGGGTGGTGCAGCGGGTTAGCACACATCACTGAAAGCTGGCTGCAGCGGCTTTAGTGCGAGTTCAATTCCCAGCCCCGGAGGATCCACATGGCGCAACAGACCTCTCCTGTCTCACCTGCTGCTCTCCTCAGCAGTGTACTTCATCAATTTGCCTGTTCTGCTCCCCACTCTGTCTCTGGTGAATCCTCTCACTACACCTCTGGCCTGCACCCCTAGTTCTGTATGCATAAACAAATAAATCTTTTTTTTTTAAAAAGCAAATGTTGATTAGTCTTGATGGTTAATTTGGTGTCAACGGAGTAGTACACAGGGCAGAAAATTATTTTCTGTTCTTCCTAGATTCTCTATCTCACAGCTCAATAGGAGAACTAACTGGTTATCATTTTGCTAGCATTCCCACTTTCACATAGTAAGGACTCACGTGTTGTTTCGTAATTATTCTTAGGTTAGTATGATGATTGTCTCTTGGGCCTGGTCCTTTTTCACGTAGTTAGCAGGCCTGCAAGATCTAGTGGTCAGTTTTGCAAGCCCCTGTACTTAATTTTTTTTTTAAGCTTTATTTTTTTATTCATAGTACTGGGGTATAAGCCAGAGGTGCAGGTGGTGAGAAGCTTCACCAGAGACAGAGTGAGAAGCAGAACAGGCAGATCAACGAAGTACACTGCTGAGGGGAGCAGCGGGTGAGACAGGAGAGGTCTGCTGTGCCCTGTGGGTCACCTCCAGGGCCAGGGATTGAACTTGCACTGAAGCGGCTGCGGCCAGCTTGCAGTGTTTCTTCTGAACCCATTGCACCACTAGGGAGGGCCCAAGTACTTGATTTTTTTTTTAAGGGATCTTGGAATTATTTGAATTTAGGGAATATATTAGAGTTCTTCAGAGTAACAGAATTAGCAGGATGTGCCTGTCCATCTGTCCATCCCGCCATCTTCATCTATCTATTGGGAGACATATTTACAAACACAGGCTCAACTTGGAAGCAGATAGGCAGGTGCCTCAATAGAGTCAGGAGATTAGGAGTGGGAGGCAGGGAGCCCTAACACCGCGGTCCTAATAAAACACACAGATTATTATAAATGCAGCTTAATGCACAGCCAAGGCGTAGCAAGTCTGATTATTCCCTGTGCTCCCAGGAGGCCTCCTGATATTGTTCCCAGTCAAGTAATGTCATTTCAGTTGTTCTTCGATAGCTATACTTCTTCAGTTGAAGTGTAGTGACTCATTCATTTTCTTGGTTTATAATTTCATAAATAAAGTTGAACTGAGGGCACAGAAATCAATGGGAGTATTGAACTTGGAGGAATCTTTGTCCCTAAAGGACCGTGGCATTATTTAGTAAAGATCTACATTTTTCTCTTGGCTGAGACACAAGAGAAGTTCACTGGAAGTGGTTGCCCAGAATGGTATCCCTTGTGATCAAAATAGCTCATCCACTTCTCATCAGTCATTGTGAAATTCTTTCTAAGGTCCAGTAGTCTAGATCTTGAATCTAAATGAAGTCAACTCACTCAACTGTTTTGCTATTGGCATTCCAGCCTATGGGTTTTCTCACATTGTTAAACAAAGAAATATGTTCTATGTAGTAGTGTTTGGAAATGTAAAAACCTGGAAATAAAAGTATCCAATGAAAGTACTGGTTAAATATATTACAAACAGCTATGCTAATGATGGTGTTACAGCTTGGATAATAAGATTATAGGTCTGACCTAGAAAAACAGTTCATATCCATGGGTATGAGTAATGTTGATTCTCTTGTGTAAAAGCTGTCCCTTTTGTATAGTATAAAAGCATATATATGCTGGTAAGCGGTGGTAACTTTTAGCCTATAGACTTGTTAGCATTGGTGACTTCCGGGAAGTAGAAGAGGTGTGGGGTGAGAGTCTTACTTTTCTTAAACTTGATGGTCTTTTGTTCTGTTTGAAATCAATTTTATATATACTTCATATAAAGTGAATTTCTCTCCCCGTATTTCACGGCCACTTTGTGGTGGCCATTGTCTTCTAAGCTGCTGTACTTTGTTTTATTGTGATTGTGGCTGTGCTGGAGGGGTGGGGGAGACACAGAGAGAGAGAGAGAGAGAGAGAGAGAGAGAAGGAAAGAGGGGCAGGAAAGGGAAAGAGAGGGGAGGAGGGAGGGGAAGGAGAAGGAAGGGGAGAGGGAGGGGGAGGGGGAGGGAGAGAAATTAGAAGAAGAGTTTAGGAGAACCTGCAGCAAACTTTGGGGAATCCTGCCAAACTGGATTGGGGCAGAATGTGCGTGAAGCTGTCAGTTGCTCTTATCATTCCAACATGATGAGAGTCTTCTGATTGTCAGGCTCTTTCTCAGGGGCTCCCTCCCCTCCTTCTCCCCGTGAATTCATATGCTATTTAACAGAGCTTTAGTTGTTAGTCTTTTCACAGCCCCTGCCCCCAAAGCCATGCCTGGCTTTCCTTTGATGGCTCTTGCTCATCTTGGAATAACCTAAAATGACTCTTAATTGCACAGA